GTTAGAGAATGCAATCTTCATTTTCTTAGACAAACTGGTGGTATATATCACTATATATGTTTCAACCTCAGGGGCTTTGGGATGTGAAGAGCACTGGTGATGAAGGAAATAGTTATTGTATTTTGCATGTCTACATAAATGTGGCATTTTCTAAGAAAACTATGTGGAGAGGTATGTCTTTGATTTTATTTGAAGCATTCTTTTTCTTTTTTCTGTGTGTCTTTCTTGATATGGACATTTATGAGGCATGTTAATCTGTATATTCACCATTATGAAGAGATATACTGTCTTAAGATTAAAACCAGTGTTGTTTAAAAAATTGGTGATCTGGATCATGTATCATCTGATCCAGACAGAAACTTTGCACCAGGTCTCCTAGGATCAGAACCTGGTACAGCCAATCCTGTCAGAGCCCTAACTTGGGCTGCTTTTTGGATTGCCAGATTTGACAATAGATGAGGCAGATTTGGTGATCCTGATTGCTTATCAGTCAAATAATGAAATAAATTAAATAGGAAAGGAAACCCTTGTTTGACAGGGAAGATGATTTGATCTTCCATTGTTGAATTTGATTTTGAAAGCCATCTTCTTTGTCTTTGAATATGAAAAAATATGCCAAAAACTAAAAAAGGGGATAGTTCTGTAACCCTGTGCAAAAACCGGATCTCTAGCTCTCTTTATCTATCTATAAAGAGGTGGATCTCTAAATAACCAGGCCTCTACTTGAATCTTTCTCCTTTCCTCTTTGAAGTTGAATTGTAACATAGGAACCCCACCTTTAATTTGATAGTTATCATCGCTCATCTTATTTCCATTATCATGGTTGCATTTTTACTCTTAGAGTTTAACCAAGTTTCCTGGTGTGAAACACTCATCACCTAAGCCTTGCCCTAATTATATGGGGTTGGCTACAGGATTCCTGTTTTTCCATTCCATTCTGTTTAGTGCCATATCCTTTGTTAAATTATGAGCATAAGTTCAGTTAACATAACTTATTGTTTTGGTTGACCATGAATGATGTGAAAAAAAAAATTCTAGAAAGGAACAAAGATTTAGGCATCAGATAATGCTATTAGCTTTGTAATGCTGAATGATCACCATTTTTTTTTGCCATCAGATCAAGAAAATAATGATTTTTTTTTCTTTTGGTTGCCAATTTTTTGATCTTCTATTTTCAGTAAAAGTATAAAAACCATAAAGTACTAGCTTGCTTAGATGATTGTGCTAAGCCTATGTATTGTTTGGGGATGGGTATGGGAAACAACAAAAAAATTTGAGATCCCAAGTATATTATTTCCTTGATTCAAGAAAACTATGGCATATCTTCCTTGTGTTTCTGTAAGTTAAAGATGGAAATTCAATTTATTATTTACTTTTGAGGAAAATCTCCTTCAATGTTTTATTGACAAGACTTTTTTACCCATCTCTAACATATAGGTTGCCATGATGAGATTCTATTTATGTTTGTCCAAGTTTCTTCCACTCGTTGAAAATATCCATTATACATGCATACTCCTAAAACTTGGATACAATATTTATTGCCATGTGGACAAACACTGATGCAGGGAAAATAGAGCAGTCCACAGCAGATGAATGCCGAGATGCTTATTCAATTTGGATAAACAATGTATATCTTTTCACATCACACATCTAACTTTTTTTTCTGAATCTTGCAAGTTTTCGAGGTTCAAACTGACAGCCAATTGTCTAATTTTGTCAGGCACATGAATTGTTGAAGCAGAAGCACCTTACGAGACAGGAAGGTAGATTTGTTGAAAGACTGAGTATACTTAAATTTTATTGATCATCTCATGATTTACTCTTCCATCTTCTTATATGTAGATCGGGCTGCTAATGGAGTTGAAACTGATGCTGCTCAAGTGGATAGGCACACTAAAATTGAAGAATCTTCAGAAGGGTTACATGATGCAAGGAATCATGCAGGGCACCCACAGTTGGCTTCTGATTCTATGGACAGTAATAGGCAATTTGGAAATCCATTGCAAGGAATTTTGAATGACACAACCTCCGTTTCATCTTTATCTAAAGAATTGTTGACAACACTATGTTCCTATTTGAGAAGTCGAAGCCACCTTCCTCTAATTTTGGTTATCACCTCAGTTTTGATACTGCTTTTGATGCAGGTAGGCAAGATGTGTGAGCCATTAAACTTTTCATATTATATGTTGTTGGTTCATGAAGGAATTAATGGTGTTTAAGGAAGATCTTTTGCTCCTTCTTATTTGCAGCTTAGCATAGTTGTGCTATTAACTAGAGCCCCTCAAGTACATATTATTCCTCAAGTGGATTATATAAACTCTATTGGTAGTCGTGGCAATGGAGCGGAGGAAATAGCTTTGTTAGAGAAGCGGGTTCACCTCCTCAGCGATGAAATGGTTGTGGTTGGGACCCGATTAGAGAAGTTGCACCAGGAGTACCTAGAGTTGAAAGCACGCCTACATGACCTTAAACAGTTCAAGAAACAAAGATGAGTACCGCCAATGTGAAACTCAACTGTATATATAATATAAATCTTTCTGCATGTAAAATCCAATGGGAATTGTTCCTTTTCTTTTGTAAATCAACAGAAAGGGTGCTCCTCTAAAAGATCTCATTGATTATTGACAGAATCTTCTCTGATAGTATTCTATTTTCTCTTTAATTTTATTTCCATGGCCTCTATATTGTATTACAAATAATGAACCATTTTTCGGTCCATCATTCTCTACCCAAATGAACCTGATTTCATATCTGAGATCAATGATTTTGTTTATTTTTTTATCTCCTAGTTTCTTTCGTGTTTGCCTCCTTAATTCACACTTTCAACTCTAACACCAGTCACAGCTAAAAAGCTTTTTTTGGCACAAAATACCTCTCAGATTCGAACCCGTGTTCTCAGGGCCCAAAATTTACCAATAAACTAAGTAATGGTCCCTAGACACGAGTCACACAGGTCTAATTTTTCAGAATGCATTACCACTAATCGAGTGATAGAGTCTAAGTTTCAGGTAGCCAGGGGCTAAAAAGTAAAAACACGACGTGTGCAAAGCTGCAAAACGGTAAAGGTTATTAGTGGAACCCAGAAATCAGTTCCAGAACGAAAGCATTTTGAGTCGAATATGAATCAGAGAAAACAAATCAAATCAGAAAATGGCTAGCCATTCGGCGAGTAGGGCGGAGGGAGTGAAGGGTCCCATAGACGCTTTTCTCCAGTTGATTGGTACAGTATTAGGGTTATGACAGACAAAGTGAGACTGCAAATCTGCAATTGCATTATGCGTTGCATGAAGTCCAATTTGCGTAGATTTTCTGCATGCGCTCTTCGGGAAGTGGGGCACCCCATTTATATGGTACACTCACTGCGTATCTCTGTCAATTTCAACCTGATTAGAGATGGAGTTCAAAGATACATTGATTGCATACAGACCCTGTCATGCAGGGGGCAATGTTTGTGTCTGAGTGTGACGAACATTGCTTATGGAAATACTTTTTGAGTTTTATTTATTATTATTTTTTAACAGGGTAGCCCATCCCCAAAACCCATAAGGGATAATAACCACCCAACCCTGCTGGTGCAGGTGGGAGTATATTCAATAAATCAAAAGACAATATCTACTTCCAAGGTGAGCATGTTTTGTATCTTTCTTCTACCTTCTTTTACTTGATGCTTGATTTGATTGCCTAGATAGTTGGTACTGGACCTGTCCATGGGCCGGGTCAGGCCGGGCTTTCACTATGTATTAACAGATTTTTCTAAGGCCCAAGTCCGAGCCCGGCCTGATGCCCGGCCCTAGGCCCGAGCCCGAAATTTAGTCCATGCTGTTACTACTGCTGAAGCGACTGAATAGAGATAGAGAGAGAGAGAAATTATAAAGAAAAAAATAAAAAAATGTATATATTAAATTATAAATATATATATTTCAATAAATATTATATTATTTATATATTTTATATAATATATAAAATACATATTATGTATTTTATAAAATATATAATGTTGAGTCGGGTTGGGCCGGGTTTTTTTGACAAATCCCGAGCCCGGCCCAAAACACAGTCAGGCTTACTATGTTAGGCTCGAGGTCAGGCCCGCGGGCCTAATTACATGACCAAGCCCGACCGGGATGCGGGCCGGGCCATCGGGCTACCCGGCCCATGAACAGGTCTAGTTGGTACCTATATTGGGTAATGGCCTTTATTGATGCTTCATTTGATTGCCTTCGTAAAAGATGTGCAATGTGCAATGGTAGATGGAAGTCTAGAACCTTGAGCTACGGTTGATCATTTCAGCCTGGCTTAGAAATTTTGGGCTTGGGCCTAGGTTTTGTATTCAGGCCAGGTCTGGGCCCAGCTCATGTATATTTTATATGTAATATATACAATGTATATAGTATGTATGTATGTGTGTGCTATTTTATGTTATACTATATATTTTAGATATAGATATTATAATATGATACTCAGAATATATATTGTATAATATTTTATATTATATAATGTACAAAATAAATTTATAAGCATATTGTAAGTCAATAGATAGGGCATTTATGGTCTGACTCTGAAAGTCTAATGCAAGGTTCAAAATTTCAATATGATACGCCTTGTATTGGCCATATTGTATCATATCGGTGACTTCATGGTTAGACCTATTCATGGATTGGGCTAGGCTGGGTTCAGGTCGAGCTTTGTTTCTTTATAAACAGAAAATTACTAGGCCCGAGTCTGAGCCCGACCCAACCATCGGGCCTAGATCTTGAGCCCGAGCTCAATCCTATATAAAGCCCGAAGCCCAACTTTGATAGGTATCTTATAACATATTAATTATATTTTATTAATAATTTATTATATATTATATAATATTTTATACATTTAATATATATAATACTTTTTTGCTATTAATTTTATTATTATATAATATATTATTATGTATTCTTAACATTTGTGTTATATATTTAATATTATCAGGCCGGGCTTATTTGGAAAAGCTTGAGCCTAGTCCGAAAAATAATTGGGCCCAATTTTTAGAGCCTGAGCCCGAGCCTGAGCCTGTGGGCTTAAAATTTTGTCCAATCCAAATTTAGGATGGGCTAGGCCGGGCCAGCCCGTTGGGCTACCCAGCCCATGAACAGGTCTATTCACGATATGCCTATATATATGATTAAAAATAGGTCCAAAAACTAAATTTTGAAAAAAATAAAAATAAAAACGTGTTATTTTAAGTACCAATACACTTTAGCCGATATACAAGGGCATATTGATATTTTGAACCTTGGTCTAATGAAATGATGGTCTAAACTAAGAGGAACATGGGATAAGGGGAGAGAACGGCTCCCAAAAGAGCTGCCTATATACCCTTTGGCGAGGGATCAGATGGTTATAATTCACTAATGGTGAAATTCCGATCGAGAATAGTGGAGAGCAATATCAGTGATTACAGAGGAAACCGAGCTGGGGCTAGGCGGGAAAGGTAATGGATCAAATGGAATCAGAAAGAGGAAAGACAAAGAATGGAAGGAGAGAGAGAATGTGTGTATTGAGTGAGAATCTCTTAGGAGTGATTAACCGAATAACCGCCCTGCATTCGGGTACGAGGCTTCTATTTATAGAGTTTTATTACTTACCCAAGTTCTAAAAATCTCTTCCATTAACCTTGTCTCTTACTGTTACTCTATAGACTTATTATTTTGAATTAGTCTGAAATATGGATTGCCTTAAGTATTAAAGCTTCTTTCGTCTAAAACAATTTGGTTTGACCCGGGTTTGCTTTGGGTTAGTTGGGTTTATGCAGTTGTATAAATCAATTGATTCATCCAATTCATCCAAATTAATTTTAATTTGGACGGATACGGATCCAACCCAAAACTGGTCCATTGACACCCGCACTTCCATTTTCCAGTTAGTGTTCAAGTTATCAATTATGGCTTCTCTGGTGTGTGTTAAATTTATTTTGATATTCCCTAGGAGGCACTAAGAACAAAAAAAAGTAGACCTCCAGCTTCTTCATTTAGTGGAGTGAAGTAATAAGTAATAACCGTGCATGGCTGAAGACCCTCAAAGTGGTAAAGTGAGAAAGGAATCATGAAAGAGGGACCCTTTGAGTGTCCCTTTTTCTAACTCCAATACACACACCTCAAAAGCTTAGATTGAACTTTTGATAAAGCAAAGATAGGAAATCCACAGTTTTACCCAAATAAAGAGAAAAGGAAATAGATATCTGGGTGGATAAGCTAGACTCCATAAGTAAAATATTGAACTAATCATTGCACTCACTACAGACCTAATCACACTGACACCAAGATAAAATATATATTGTTTCCATCAACTTTCATGGTTTTAGAGGCGCATATGTATGCCAAAATTGTCCAATTGATCATCATCATCATAATTAATAATAATAATAATAATAATAATAGATAAAGGTAAGATACTCATGATCCACATCATCATCCTTTAGCTTGCCATGTCATCTAAAATTTATTTCATTATTGGCCTTCCTTTTATATATGTCTACCAACTCTGAGTTTGTCATCATGGAGCTTTTCCTTTTTTCTACATCTTCTCCACTTCTTTATTTTATAATTCAGAAAATACTTTTCCAAATGCCTTGAGAGACTGAGGCCCCGACGGGTCAGATGGTCAGTCAAACCACTTGGACCCCTTCCCCCAAGTCTATGGTTGCGGGAACCGAATTCCTATCCATATGGGAAAAAACCAACATACCAACTGAGTTGGCCTGCGCCAAGATATTGGAGTTTAATGCAATTGAATTGAATGTGTTAAAATGTTCTTGTTAGACTCAGTTTGGAAGGAGTACAAATACAAATATATAGAGTATAAAATTTTGTATTTTGTATTATTTTATATGTATTTACATCGTACATATTTATATTTATACTCTTTTCAAATTAAGCTTTAATTTGGAACACTTTTGTAGCCTCTTTTTGTTCTATTTTTCTATTGTGTTATTTGCATTGGTTGAATGATAGAAGGGAAATTGGAGCATTCAATTGTGTCTCAGTTTTATTAGCGGATTGATCTTCGGTCTGGGTTTCATAGATCATACCATTGCAAGGGAAGTGACAAACAGAAACAATCTAGAACAACTACTAAAACAGATAAAAGGATTTTATGGTATGACATCCCTAGCTTGGAAGTTTTGCCTGTGGCTTCCATTTGGCCATCAGGCATTTAAGGTGGTGTCAGTACCATCAGAAAAACTTTGACTGTTGGGGCCAACAGCCTATGCTGTTGAGAGAATTTCTGCAAATGCCACGTTATCATGAGAATGGGTAAATTAGTAATTATATCTTAATTTATTTTGACTAAAAATCAAAACATGGGCATAAATAGGTGAATTGTCCAGAACGTGCTCAGCCCAGAAACTGTTTTAACAGCCTCTACTGTTGGACCCCAACAGCCAAAGTTAACCTGGTATCATCTTATGTTTTATATTACTGCTAGTTCCACAACACGAGACCGATCTCACACATGGCACCTCATACTGACTTTACAGGCACATCTTACCGTGCATTGGGAATATCTCCCTATTTATATGTTATAACAGGAGAATGACCGTTTAGCACACCTCAAAAAAAAAGCATCATACCACACTGGGCCCAGTGGATTGAACACATCAAACTTATTTAAGAGCATGGTACATACAAACCACCTCCTAGATTAGAGTTTCTTGTAAGGGATAATAGCATATAAGGCAACTTTTTGTCCTTAATATCAATAAAAATACTATTTTTATATATAACCAAA